TCGCCAGGGCCTTCGGTGGGACTCGGCTCGGCGACGGCTCGCTATTGGTTCGTACGTGTGTGGGCGGTCCCGAGCCAGACTCGCGTATCTACACGCCACACGAACAGACAGTGTGAAGACTTGTGGTACTACGGCGGAACCATGTCGGCTTCCATGTGTAACAAAACATTCATGAGCCCAGAGTTTTTGACACGGTTTTTAGAAAAGTACCGTGAATTGCCGGTTCTGTGGCAGGTTCGCAGCACAGAGTATTCGAACAGGAGAAAGCGGGATGAGGCCTGGGATTTACTCGTGCAGTTCACGAGAGAGAAAATCCGTGATGCTGACTTGAATTTTGTTAAGAAGAAAGTGGACAGTATCCGGGCATCATTTAGGAAAGAACTGCGCCGAGTTCGGGAGAGCAAGAGAAGGGGTGCGTCCGGGGTTGATGTCTACAAGCCAACGCTGTGGTACTTCGACCTGCTTTTGTTCACGGCAGACCAAGAGAATCCTCGGAAAAGCAAAAGCAATTTGAATGAACAAGCCAAAGATGTTGATGGCGATGATGATTCACAAGAAACAACAGCTTTGACAACAACAGAGGTAAGTTAATAGATGAATATTTTGTAGAAATCAGTTCAGTAATGAGAACCTGTTAAGACACAAGTAGGTTCATATAAGGGGCCGCGACTAGCTTGACAGAACTATTTAAATAGGGTAGGCTGTATAAAGTAAAGCACAAGATTTAAGGATCTTCGCTCAAACTGAAATAAACTAATGTAAGCTACTGTGCAGTCAATGATACTGCCGTACTAATCTGTTGCCCACCATTCTGTTTTGAAATGGTACCTTTCCTAGCCCATTGAAGTATTCAACATACTTATCTCGTAAGATTTGAGGCTTTTACGGCGGTGACTATGAAGAAAGCAGTCTTCTGGGATTTGGCACCGTGTATATGTGGTGTTAACCGACGTTTCGGAGGAACGTATCGGCTCCATCTTCTCTTCGCTTGCGGATTTCTTACATTTTTTCTTCTACCCTGAAGATGGAGGCGATACGTTCCTCCGAAACGTCGGTTAACACCACATATACACGGTGCCAAA